AGAACTAAGTAATACACACAGCAAAGTTCGATGCACACTGAGAACACAACAACACCAACATTTTAAAAGAGAACTTCAACATAACCATAAAACCGTGCCCATCAGAAACAACACATCACTTACTGTCATCTCCTTCGCCGTTCACCTCGTTATCAGGTACTGCCGTGAACTTATCCCAGCAACGTTCATGACATCTCCATCTACTCCACTCCACCCAGGCCTGCCTGTCACACCGTGTCACACAATCCGATCGCCGATCCACATCCGACATGCGCGGATTCTTCCCCGTCACATCCCTATACGTGAGGATACTAAAACAAATGACAAAACAGCATTTTGTGTGCTGCTGTCCCCCTTGAGCTTACCAGTTCCGACACAAATGCGTGGGGAAGAAGTAGTTGTAAAAATCAAAGAGGTAATCAAAGACGCCAGAACGACCTATAGGCTCTCCCCCAGGGTATCTGAGTATCACTCACAACAGCTCTCCGCACCTTCCACGCAAGCCAACAACAACAGCACCCATACTTTCACAAACTAGCATTAGAACCTCCAATTTACCAAAACAACGAAATATATCACTTCACCATATAATACTCCGATTCTATATAAAGTAGTCATGGGCTGTCGAAAAACAAGTAAAACAATACATCGGATATATTTCATTAAATGTTATAAAGTGTATATTTTCTGCCAAGTTATGGGTATAACCGGGGTGCTCAGTTTATGCAACCAAACCACGGACAAATAGAAACTCTACGTGATACCAAACGATGAGACGAAATACACCCTTACTTCATCATCACAGAAGATAGAGAAAATCAAAGCTGACTCCGAATTCACGCGCCCGGAAAAACAACACCAAAATTCTGAGTTTCATGACTTAGTCCTCAAAAACGACCTTGTTACACCGACTGCTTGCCATCACCACTCCCAATGAGAACTCCTCTACTACTTTCGTTCGCATCTGCCAACATCCCTAAAGAAGTAAGGCACGCACAGTTCAGCCTTCACACAGGAGGTATAACCAGACTTCGCCTCCTGGTCAGTCCACAGCAAACTGTAATCAGGCTCGTCAGTGAACAGGGAACCGGACATCGCGATAACGGCCACAGCAATCTAACACGCATCATTTACTTCCATTAAACGCAATTCACATTATAGATAAACAAGGGCTACCTCCTGAGCCCAGAAATAGATATACCAACCACAGTTTGCAGGCAGAGAATAACCAACAATACAAAGCGACTTCACCTATACTCACTAAGCGCGACGACTACGACGAATGCATAAGACAGGCACGTCTTCCTCTACTTCACAGCACCACTACCGCACATCACGGTTTTATTTATCCTGGGAATAGAGCCTAACGCCAACACTTTGACCGTTGATCCAATGACGTTGCTCCAGCACGTATCTCGCCACTTCATCGCTGGCAAAAGTGCAAAAACCAAATCCTCGAGACATTCCCGTTTTCTTGTCGCGAACAACAGTAGAGGACAGCACTTGCCCAAACTGCGAGAAATGGGCTCGTATATCTTCATCAGTAGTAGCAGGGCTCAACCCACCAATGAAAAGCTTGTTGGCCGCGTTCGGTACACTACTGTTGGTATGACGCCTATTAGGTCGCACGCCACCATCAGTATGGGTAACATGACTAGCACCCTGTACCATCGCAGATACACGCCGCATATTAGCTCTCTTGAAACTCTGGTCAGGAGCCGGGAACGGGAGATCACTGCCGTCCGCACCAAACAACAGAGGACGATACTCAGGATCTGGCAACTCATTTACGGGAGAGTTACGGTAGTGTTCAACGTTACGCTCCAGACCTTGCACGCGAGCCCAACACACAGCACATATTTTCACCGATCGCACCGCGGGCAACTGATAGCCATCAAATACTTCCATAAATCTGACCGCGTAATCATGATGAGCAAAATTGATAAAAGCATAGCCCATGTTACAGCCATTCTTGAAATCCACCGGCAAATAAAAGAAATTATACATAGTCTTGAAGCCTTTCTCATCTATCGCTTCCAGAAGCCCACTCTGGGTATACTTGTTCGGAATATTCCTCAGCATCACCGTAGTGAGGTCTTCCTCCGTTTCGCCACTGCTACCCTTATCTTCTTTCGTGGGGACGAACCCTGGTGAGAAAGGGGGCGTATCCACTTGGGGAGAGGGAGAAAACGAGCCACTCTTAGGTTCCTCAGTAACTGCTTCGAGCCCAATCGAAGCTGCCAGTTCAGCACCAACAGGAGGCATACTCCCCACTGCAGCCTCGTCAACCTCCATGGTACCAGGCGGGCACGTGGAAGCTCTATTAAAGACACTTGGTTTCGCAACGCCAAACTCCAAAAATGTGTTCTTCACAAACCCCTCGGGGCCGGCGTTCCCTTCCAGTAAAGGAGCACCACCGTTACCCTCAGTCACGAGCTGTTGCAGAAGCTTGTCAACGCCGTTTTCAGGCAGCATGCCACCGCCCACAGCACCATCACCAGTTGGGTTAGTCATGCTGGGAGTACTACAGAATCACAAAACGTTCGCCACGTCAAACGCGACGCGGTTGGTACGTTTTAGCGGAGCGAAGCGATTCATGACTACCACTTTTCGATGACTAGGAACTCAACGTTTCAAAAGAATCTATGCCTATCACCATTCCTACAGTATATCATGATAATTCGTAACTGATGAAGTGGAGATAGGCGAAAAGCCCGTCAGCAAAATGATAAGTTTTTTCGTAAGAGGCAGCACAGTAGATGCGCCGACTTGAAATGGGAGATAATACACGTGTCAACGTGCGCCAAGCACGTCACGTGTGACAAGCGTACACGTGAAGTTAACACGAATTATGGTCAGTCGGGGGGTCAGGCAGGTCATAAGGGTGTTGCACGAATCGTTGTGGATAGAACTCACAAGAGTTCGCATTCACAGGGGGATCCAAAAGTTGCACGCACAGTATTGTTGTAATTTTAGAACTAACCTCAAGGTGGAGCAACCTTGCATTGAAGAGTACCTTCTTGTTTGGCGACAAACACCATTCGAGTTGAGGCCATTCCGAATGCGGGGATACGCCGGTCTTCTCAACAGTCAGGGGAGACCCTACACCCTAAGCTGCGGACTATGTAAACCTTGCGGTTTAGTAAGTGTCCGAGCAGTCCTTTGCTGGGCGCTCGGCTCGTCAATTGTATGGTCGCATGCAACTGAGGGGTCTCTGAAGGTTAAAGTCGAGATGATAGCAGGACTCAACCTAGGACCCCCCAGGGAAAGTTTTCTGGAGTGATTTGAAAGAACATCTTTTTTTGTGGTTTTGTAAAGTCATTTGCTCCTGTAGGACAACATCTTGAGGAGTTGTGTCGTTATTCATTAGGCGTAAAGTGAACGGCTTAGGAACACTCCACAAACTTGAGTGAGGAAGTCGCGGGTTGAAATATTCGGGCAGAATCTTGCCGCTGGGAGATTAGGTTTAGTATGACGGCTTAGGATCTTGCCGGCTGATACGAGAGATCAAGCGAGCTGTTATGTACATCCATACGACTGTCTGGTTATAATCGAAATTCGAATTTAAATCATGATAGAGATCCAACTACTGGCAGAAAATTTCTTGAAAAACACGGCACACGTCATAGAGGACAGTTGACAGGTGGGATTGCCTGCCTGCGATAATGATGGATCCACATCGATCAAAAAGATTGTGAATCATCGAGCAGGAGGCAATGTATGGAGAAGTTAGCAGAGATACGCGCGAGTAATGGAAACTCACTATCTGAAAGCTTTCTTGTGTGCAACTTAGATCATCGCCGGCCACCTCACGCAACTCATGAAATGCAACAGCATTGTTTGGACAGTATCATAGGCATCAACGAAGGACAAGCTCTATATCTTTTTGGGAAGTGACAGTTTTAGCCCAATGGGACAAATGTACACAGCATACATCAGCGCTAGATATCTTGGAGTAGCTGCGCGAATCATAGTTCATCAGTCCTGTAAGCAGTTCGTAACACCAATAACATTCTATGAACGTAATATGCCGACTGCCTTGAAAGGTATAGGATTTGTTTCGATGTCGTAGCTTGCTATGGTAGTTGTATTTCGTCAGTTATCAAGTTGTCATATTCCACCATGCCCGCTCGTGAGGTCCTTAAGTATCAGTCTGAGCTCATTCAGACCGCCAACGCCATCTGCACTCCCGGTAAGGGAATCTTGGCTGCTGATGAGTCCACTGGTACCATCAAGAAGCGTTTCGATGCTGCTGGTATCGAGAACACTGAGGAGCACCGTGCTGCCTACAGATCTCTTCTTTTCACTGCCCCTGATGCTGGCAAGTACATATCTGGGTCCATTCTATTCGAGGAAACTCTTTTCCAGAAGAATGCTGAAGGTATCCCGATGGTCGACTTGCTTAAGAAGCAGGGCATCATCCCCGGTATCAAGGTTGATAAGGGACTTGTCCAGCTCGCTGGTACCGATGGCGAGACGGCCACTCAGGGACTTGATGGTCTTGCTGAGCGTTGCCAGAAGTATTACGAACAGGGTGCTCGCTTTGCCAAGTGGAGAGCTGTTCTGAAGATCGACGAAGCTAAGCAAATGCCTTCTCAGCTTTCCATCGTGGAGACTGCTCACACTCTTGCTCGTTATGCGACCATCTGTCAGGCCAATGGTCTTGTTCCCATTGTCGAGCCCGAGATCTTGACGGACGGTGCTCACACCATCGAGACTTCTGCCTATGTTACTGAGAGAGTTTTATCTGCTGTTTTCAAGGCCTTGAACGACCAGCATGTTCTTCTTGAGGGTTGCCTCCTCAAGCCTAATATGGTTACTGCTGGTGCCGACTGCCCTGTGCGCCCTACCGCCCAGAAGATTGCTGAGTTGACTGTCCGCACTCTTGCCCGTACTGTCCCTCCGGCTCTCGTTGGTGTCGTCTTCCTTTCTGGTGGTCAGAGTGAGGAGGATGCTTCCATCAATCTGTCCGCCATGAACCAGCTTCCTACGGAGCGTCGTCCGTGGGCTCTAACTTTCTCCTATGGTCGTGCTCTCCAGGCCAGTGCCATCAAGACCTGGTCTGGTAAGGAGGAGAACACCAAGGCTGCTCAGGAAGCTTTCCTCGTCCGCGCCAAGGCTAACTCCGAGGCTCAACTCGGTAAATACCAGGGCTCTGGTGATGAGTCTGCCAAGGAGTCTTTGTATGTGAAGAACTATGTTTACTAAGCTCCTATTCGCAATTATTTTTCCCCAACAGTGATAAACGATTGTAACTGTACCAAGTTACTAGTGTATGCGTGATTCGCAAACTCATTCAGTTGTTGTGTTTGCAAGTCGGGACAGAGTAGCTCGTATTATATATGATCGCATGTCGGCATAGACATCATACACTAGAACGTTATATACGCTGATAGTATCACTATATGTAGCGTTTACTGCAAAAATTTGTGTACGAGAGTCGTCCTACGGTGATAGACTATCGTAGTACGACCCCAATAGGGATGAGCACCACTGGTGAAACCGTAAAAGTGGGTACTGTACGTCGCTCAAACTATATAATTGTCACTACCTCCGATGACAATTAATATGTTAGGAATAATACTGTTGGAGATTACTGTAATTGATGGAACTTACTGTAATTCCACTCTGGGCTTGATTGTTCCACTTTTCACATGATTTATTTCTATATCCAGTTGGCGATTGTGAAGAGTGATTGACGAGTCATTTCGTTTCACTCTAGCCTTGTGCGTTTTATACTCATTTGCAATACTCTAAATCGATAATATCGATTATATATCGATTCGATACATAACTCAAAGAGTAATGATGCGAGATAACGTGGCGTTATCTGTATCGTCGTGACAGTTTTGTACATCAGAGAATGCGCTAGCTCGCTATTGTAATGGGAACGGAATTTCTCCTCGGTGGTGATTTACCACCGATTATGCGTTCGGCATAGACAACGTAAGTCTGCCCTCGTGCTCGTGATGTAGGACTGTTCTGTCGTCACTACAGCTTAGGAGGCGTATCATCTATCTGCTTATGATCGATTGATTCGTATTGTAACTTACGCTTACAATTTGTAAGCGTATATGTCACATCAGGGACAACGCTGATCTCTCAGGAGGTTGGTATAATCAACTCAACGAGTTTTGATACCACCACACTAACGTCGCGAGGTTTCCAACGCAAATTCCTCGAGATCCACGCAGCCTCAGAAACAATGTTCACTCAATTGGAGACTTTGCAGTTGATGAAGCCGCAATCTCTGTAGTGTTTCAGTTCATTGATGCTGTCCTGAATATCCTCCAGGGCTCGATGCGTTGCTCGTTTTCCAGTGAAGGCTTCAAGAGTTTCCGGGTCCCAGCGCTTGGCAAGCTCTTTTATTGTGCTAACGTCAAGAACACGATAATGCAAGTAACCTGAGAGCACAAACAGATGCGACACATCAGGTGAATTCCTCGGTCTTACCACTGAACCTCGGCATGTACTTCTCAAGGAACCTCTTGTCAACGTGAACAGTGTTGCCCGCCAAAAGCCCCTGGCCTTCCTTCACAAACTCAGCTGCGACCTAACGAGTTGATATTCAGCGTGATTGTCGTGGTGGTTAAGCCAACCTCGGCGAGCTGTCGATCAGCTTCTCCCTCACTGATCGTTGATTTCAACACTTCCTCAGCGAGCATGGCAGGCACGGGCTGCCCATTTTTCCACCCGAACTGCTTACGGCACCAATCGTTCATACCGTTTAGCACCTCAGTTGGTTGGTGTATGACAAGATCCGGCCCCTGAAACCAAAAGTCCGATCTATCACCGTGGTGGTCCGAATAGAGCGTTCACTCTCAGTGTGTGTCAATTTGAACTGCAGATGTGAAAAAGGGCGTCAGTGACTGAGAACTGATCTAAAACTGTGCAGAAAATAGAGAACACTATCATGTTTTTACAATGTAAAAGTGTCAATGTCGACACTACATATGTTCCACACGCATCCATCAAAGAAAGAATGTCATACCGTCCAATACCGCACCCCGCCTACTTCGTGTAAAACGTTGAGGTGTTTATCAGTAACAATAAGCGCCACTTCAAGTAAACGATCGGTCTCCCCAAGAACCCCATAGGCATCACCAAGATTAGTCATCTCGCAGTCAACCCACAGGAGAACTCCCTGAAAACCAACAGGTCAATACGACTTACAAACCATCGTCATTGTCAACGCAGTAATAAGACTTACATCGTTAGTTTTAGCTCTAGGTGCCATGCGTGGTAACAATTCGCAAGTCCACTGCCGCAGAAAACGCCACAAAACGACTAAGTTGAACTGACTAGGTAAAGAATACACACCGGAACGCAACTGCTTAGTGTTCACCATGGAAAATGTTCCCATCATGCTGAAGTCATGCATTTGCGCCATTTGATCTCCGCTTCACCAACAGCCTCGCCAAGCTGAATAATATCCCACTTGAATTCCACAGTCGTATGGCCAAGTTTCTGTTTCAAAAAGGTATGGCTAACACCGCGATAAGCTGCCAGATTTCTATAGTGACCATCAGCTCCAGTGCCAAGCTCCAGGATTTGACCACAGTCTGGTAGCATTATCAACCACCACAGTGCAGCCCCGTGCACTCCCAGGAGTATATCAGTATTGGCCGCAGTTTCCAACTGTTTCTGCAACTCCAGCTCGCCGAACTTGACAAGGCGTACCTCCCTCCCTGGCCTTTTAAGTGACTCCACCATCACACCCTCATTTATCGCTCTTCTGTTAAACCCCATCCCGCGAGATATGACAGTTATACGCACACGCTGGACTGCCAACGCTGGTCTCGGCGTAACGTTATACACCTTCATCAAGTGATCTCGATAAGCCATCAGGATGGACGATCGCCCGCAGCCTTTCAAGGGCAGTTTAGTGTGAAATGCTTGCTCCGGGGGCACTGGGAAAATGACTTTTTCAAAGCACACTGTCCCCCCTTCTTTGGCAAGCTCATCAGCGTACACCGTTCTACCAGGGGCTAGCACAGCCTCATATATACCCAATAATGGGAAAATTTTTCTCAGGTCAGGCTTGGGTCGGTTGATCAAAATAGTGACATCACCTGGGTCCAATTCAAGTGCTGCCATAGTAATGAACAACGTGAGTATTTCCTCATGACTATGCCATGGATTTCTCCCCAACGTCTCTCTCGTGCGAAAGACCATCACCGTGCCAAGCGCATGCGTGCAATTCGGTTGTGCCATAGGGACACCTCTAAACTCAGCTAATTGTTTATTCTTTTTATCTTCACAGTCGATGAACTTCATCCCCTTGAAAGCCTCCGATGCCCTGCAGTGACCATACAACCTCAACCTAGTGAGATTCCCAATCTCCTTCGTGACGGTATACAAGTGGCGACCCACACACAGGTAGTTTCTAGCCACCCCTCCCTTGGCCTTAACATAACACTTCAACGTGCTCTCACCGCCACCACAATACATATCAGGTTGAGCCCCCAAGAGTGCCCTCCTATATTTCACAACCCGTTCATGGCCAGCCAAGAGTCCGCATGCTTCGGGCTGCCTTGTACCATCATGACGTGCGATCAATCTATCAAAGAGCGATCCTGAGACTGCCTGCCCGACTCCCCCCCTTGCTATAGGGCTCGGACCCCTAGGTGCTTTGGATATCGTGTGTAGCGTCCATACACCCAAGACTAGCAACGACACCTGGAAGATCGTCCTCTTGGAGAGCCTCTCTCTCGACCTACGACGTTTATTCATATTACCCACATTAAAACAACTACATCAAAGCACCCCATCAGCCTTCCTAACGCAAAACGCTGGCAAAAAATGGGTAAAAACGCTCAAGCCACAGCAAACTGGTCGTATATAGCATCCCGCACTTTAAAGAGATTTTGGCACAGGTCTGAAAGACAGTATAACAAACCGCCATCACAGACCACACTGCTTACCCCCTGTCACTTGAACGACTGTAGTCTGTGCATGCGTTGACTCTTCCTCTTCTCCCTCACCCAATGCCCCGCCAGGCGCCATACCCAAATCCTGAGCAGCTTCTCTCGCTGCCGGCCTGGGAGAAAATCGATCCTCATGCAAGGCCACTTAGCTGACTGCAGCATAAAAATTTACATCCATGCTCTCAATAAAACTTCGCTCCTCGTCAACATCATGTGTATAATTAATCACCCCCGACAGTGAGACGCTGGAGAGTTTCATATATAGATGTTTGCTTTCCTCAGCTGCTGAGCTCAGGAGTTTCCTCACTAATTATACAAATTTACACACGAAATAGAGCAAACGTGCACTAAAGCTAACAAGAAATTTCAGGAATTTTCTCAAAATTTTTCCATTTTCCCACTGTGTGACACATGTACTAAGTGTGTCACCACCCAGCCACAAGACGGTTCCCTCCTACCTCCCTTGATGATGAGTATCCACCGTCACTTCCCCTCCCTCGGGTGAGTCCACAACGAGCATCCTATTGGACATAGGCGTCATGGTGAACTCCCCATTGCTGACCAGCCCTCCCTTCGGCCGAGTCTTGAAAGCTACTGAGCCACCAACCGATTCATTGCCACGAGCGACAAACTTCTTTTTAAGACGCTCACGAAGAGTCGCCAATTGCAAAGGCTTCGACGATAGCAATAAGCCTGGACGACAGAGAATCTGAAATTCCATAAACTCTCGAACTTGAATATGCACAAGACGATGACCATGCAGTATTCACCTCTTCAGCCGCAGCAGCCTCCTGTTCCTCTTGAGACCCTCCTATCACCACCCCATGCTCCCCCTCAGAATCCTTCAAGACCGTCCCAATAGGCTCGCCACTTGCCGTACGGGAAGGAGCGTCTGCAGAATCGGCCGCTGATGTCAATGCCACTCGGCACAGAGCCACTTTAGCACAAGACCTGTTGAGTGCATCTAAAATGAACAAACACATCAGTGTTCATATTATGATACATGGCCGCCTACCCGGTCTAGCCTTGTCGCTATTCCTAGCTACAACGCGTATGTACTTCAACTCCCTTTGAAGGCTCTTGTCGAGATAGCACTGACCGAAGAAAACAGACATTTCCCAAGTAGACCGATAAAAATACCAACCTGTCGTTTTCGTGGTCTCAATGAGAACTGCACAGGCTGTAGTTCGATCTCCCCCCGTTCACGACCACTTTGACAGACGTATGCCTGCGAGGAGGTAGAACATGTCAATCGGCCACATCCAGCGAGCCCACTTGGCCTCCCTTGCCAGTGGCGAACATAGAGTCAGTCCTGTGTATCATCAGCTCAAGGTCGTCAGCATTTACAGATGGCAGAATGACCAGATGGCGCGGTCGTAGCCTCGCCAACAGCTCGTGCCTACACCGATGTAATCACCGAGAAGCGAACATAAGAGACTACCTGTGCTGGGGAGTAGCGAGGCCGTCAATACCGTTACCCGGAGCCATCAGTTTAACCTTGCAGCCGACTCGAATCACACGTTCACGGGTCTCAACCATCTTGGGCTCTCCAAAGCGAACTTGGAGATCTCGTCGCCAATCAAAACTGTCGTGGTCGTCCGTGCCAGGGGCTGCACTGGGGTCAGCCTAATGACACAGCGCACACAGCCTCTACTGGTAGTGCCAGTATGCGAGAATATGCAAATATGAGAAAATTTCTGGAAAATTCTTCTCCTATCCGAATTCGTATATAAGCTCCTATGAGTGAGGAAACTCACGAGCTCAGCTGAGGAAAGCAAACATATACTCCTACTCCAACACCGGTTGGTGCTCTCGATAGGACTATTCACCGACATACTTTCATTCGCTGGTGCCCATCATCCTCGCCAATATCAGCCTTCAGCTCGTCCTTAGCGACCTTCATCTGCTGTTTAACGCGGAAATCTACGAGCAGTGAAACAACCTTATTCGTATCTTCCACAGTTGAACCTAAGATACGCCTACGTCCATGAGGTTCATCCTTCATCTCTTTCTTATCAGGATAGTCGTCATGATACCACCCCTTCCGGAAGCGCTTCATCCTCATAAAATCAGATTCCGCATGAGCTCGCCAAGAGTCAATCACGCTACTGTCCAGTCGAACACCGTACCTGCCATGGTGACACCCTGCAGGCCTACCGTGTCACCACTCTCTCCTAATCACATTAATCTCAGACTAAACGGGCACAGTTCTGACAATTCTAATCCCAAAACTCACCAAGTTAAGACGGGTAGTCTAAAAACCCATCCAAAGCATTCCCGTATAGCGCGGCCATCACGAAGCTCACCCCCAACCTTCCGTCACTGCGCCACGAAATTCCCTCTCTACCCATGCAGCTTACTCGTCCGCCATCTGGGCTCCTCCAGCAGCTACTCCTCCAAGTTCCTCATCATCATCAACCCCTCCCGTTCCTCCTCCTCCCATAGCCCCTCTTCCTCCACCTCCAGTCGCCGCTCCAGCACTCCCCCCTCCACTAGCCGAAGGCGCTGCAGCTGTCTGTGAGTAGAACATTCCTGAGAAAAACCAACACCACACCTGGTCCCGCGCAAGTTCGACAAACGCGGCTCATCCATACATATTCATGTTTCACACAAGCGGGAAAAATCAAGTGTAAGTTTGACGATATGTACTCATCTCTAACACAGCCAAAACTTCGACGATACGCACCCAGTACGGTATAAGCCCTGTCCTCGAGAATAATACTACTCCACTGAGTGATATTTGAAGTTAAAAACGCCACGTCACTCACCAGGTCTGAAGAACCCATTTACTTGTCCGCCCTCCACATCATATACTGACGCTTGATTTTTGCTCTCCAATGATATCAAAGCAGTGCCCGAGCCCCCACCATCCCCCTCATTATTCTTAGCGCTCGCCTGACAATATCAAATACAAACAAATATCTCTGCTAAGAACTCGTTCGAGTACTAGCCCAGTTTTCTGCAGCATTTGCTTAGCCATGCCTTCCGCGTAGCTCTCCGCCATACTCTGCTGCTGGCGCCTCGCCACCGCTGCCTTCTGGGCCGCCATCTTCTCGCGACGATCACGCTCTTTCCGACGTCGCCTCATCGCAAGCTACCAACAATGCTGCGTCACTCGCCACGAAATTACCCCATTACCTCCTCCTGGGACTCCCTTGCCAGACTTTCCCTATAGACCTCACGAAGCTGCTCATCCGTGTAGGAGCTCTTGATATACTGCGTCTCCCGATACGTGACGGGTTCTGACAACATACTACTGTTGGGAAAATTTCGAGGTAATTTTTGGAAATTTTTATCAATTTCTATACATTTCTACCCAAGTTCACGAGTAATCATCCATACTTAGTGGAAAAAAACTCCCCAGCTCAGCCGAGGAAACCAAACACATATTGCAACACTAGGGTGACCCTGTACAAAGCAACGGCAATTTGGAGCACAGCAACCTCCTACCGTTGGGGTTTTCAGGCCTCTCCACGACGAAGTCGTGTATGACCCTCTGTGCGAGGCAGTCTCGATAGGCAACATCAGACGTAGTGAATATGACTGTACTGTTGGGGTCGCCACACATACGACAAAATATTTCCCTAGCATCGCCGATCTCCAAAGAGGCACTAGATGCCAAAACAACCTAAAACCACTTCTCACCGTAAACGTCCTTTCTCGCTGCTCACCTTGGGCTTCCGCGCTGGGTAGTTCTGGGCGAAATCTTGAAAGCTCGAGCACAGCTGAACATGTTGGAAGAGGAAGGGATGGTACATGAAGCCCATCGACGTATCGAAGTCGTTATGAACCTTAAAGGATTAATGTTGTTATTTATATCCCCTTTCACGACCTGCTCTCAGTGATCACAGGGTAGTTCATATACGAACTCGGATAAAAATGCAGAGAAACTAACCACAATTTTCATGTACTTGACCATGTGCATATTTTTCAACACTAATGATGGTAACAGCCCACCCACCACTCTGCTCATCCACTCCATCCTTATCTTGATCTGATCGAGTACCACGTCCCCGAGTGGCGACACGTACACTACGGGGTAGACCTACACATATTATGGAGTAAATCTACTCTGCTTACAAACCTACCTGCAGGCCGGCATCGGCAGCCCATGCGGCCTCGAGGAGCAACAGCAACTCCAATACACGACCTGAGCATAAGCAGGTTTATGATATCAAAGGCAAAGGCATGAGCGTCCAACCTGTTGAACAACAATCCACTGGTAACAACACTGTACCATCCTTCCTCAGAGACCTTAGGACCATCCCTAGCAGAGCCTCCTCGGCCTGAGCATAGCGCCTGTTAGACCTGCCCACAACAAGCGCTTCCACACAATGCTCTCAGTACTACTATTACTACCTCGAAGCTGTAATCCCAGCATCATAAGTCCTTCTACTCTCCGTCGCTACATTACTAGTAGCGCCCTGACCTGCACACGTTACTGCACCCTCCACTGCTGGGGGCATCGTATTAGTGATCAATACGCTAGGCGGTGCCTGAGCTCCCAAGTACCACCACCACGCACCTCCCTCCCTATCCTACTACCTGCTCCGGCGGCGGCAACTCCATACCATTTAAATGCCTATCCCCAGCCATTTGATAATCCACAGCATATACCATACTTTGCGAGCCAACATCAATCCTCCAATATGCTCCGCCCAGCATCCTCCCAGCAGGGAGAGGGGTGAACCTCACAGTCGGCCCTTTCGCATTGGCCCCAGCATCGCCTCGCATGGTGAACATGACGCCCTCCCCATACTGCAAAGGCGTCACTGCTCCATTAAAAGCCATAATAGTGTCGTCAATGGTCAACAACCAGTCGTTGGTAGTCGTCACCGCATCCCTCATCTGCCAAGACCAGCTCGAGCTCAGCCAAAACAATCCCAACCGTAAGGCGACCACTTCCTAGCGGTTTGGGAATATATGTACACAGTCAACAACATGTGATGATAGGAATGTGAAAATTCCGAGGAAATTTCGAAAAAAATATCCTATTTTTTGTATACTGCTACCCAAATCGTGCGTGGATTAGCATAGTGTAGTAAGGAAACTTCCGAGTTCAGTTTCGAAAACCAAACATATATCCCCACACTGCTTCCTAGCAATGCGAGTCGTCCAGGCTTCCATTACCTTATCTATGTCCTCATGCAGTGCCGTGAGTGTGAGTTCACCAAGACGCCTTACAGGCTCTGTCGCCAGTACCATGGCCCCATTCGATGGTTGATTGCTGTTCTTGCTGCTACTAGCAGCAGCATCAGCCTCCCCAACAGGGGGAGGGGCTACAGCGTATTGGAGTTTCTTAGGTCTCAAGTGGCAATACACGTAGGGCCATGCACCGCAATGCTGCAGATCGGCAAAGGATAACAGACACACGTCGATCTGATAGAAAAACAGTAAAATCAACCACCGAACCCCTCCCCCCCCTTTGCAGTCCTACCTGATCCACGAGTCGAGCCCCAGAGGGCTGCTGCTCAGCCACCAAGGGTCCAAGCATGTCTGGATCCATCTCTTCTGTCCATCCACAGTCCAGCAGTACACTACAACTCGTACTAAACAACGAGAACACATGCACATCTCTCAACTACTCTTCCTCCACTACTTAGTGACATCATCTGTAAGCTTAAGTACTGCCATTTGGTACTGTGACGTATCTTTAGAAATGGGCAGTATCTCCACAGAGACCCCTCCCTCCGGGTTCGCAGAGGCGACTTGAGACATGATGCCAACGACCTAGCCCTGCCACCTCTACCCTATAACGCACTATGAACTCAACGAGCCACCAACCAGGGCAATGCGAAACTGGCAATTCTACACTAACTGGTGAATGAGCCCTCCACAGTGAATGTCAACAACTACCTCACGCCACCGTCCAAACCTCAGCCTCCCCACCAGCAGGTCCAGTGCTAGCTCCTAAAACCAACAGCTGGCCCTCCTTATCGTATACACAATCACGGAGAGTAAGATCTGCAACCCCTTCAATTCTCGACAAGCCAGTCCACTTTCCCGCAGCATCCCACGAGAGAACATCCCCCCGTTTAGTAACTGCCCTAACGCCCTTCCCCACAGCCTCACACGCCCCTACCAAGCGACTGCTCACCCCGACCCTCGAGGGCACAGGGAGTCTACCGATCTTCTTCCCAGCATCATACCGATACACGCCGTCTCCATCAACAGCAACCTCCTTACTAGCGAGGCCAGTATTCACCTCTACCACTCGCCCACCCTGCGAAGACGCACTCCAGCTGTTACCGTGCATGTCGGCGAACAACAAACTGTCGTCAGGGCCAAGCGTGAGGCTCACCGGATTGAATATAGTCCCCTCACCATCAAACTGAACCCGAACACCCAGGTTCAATCCCTGCAGCTGTCGTAATTTCTCACTATCCCTAGGCATACCAGCATGAGCCATCTCCTTGTCCTCATCAGTCTCCCCCGGCTCCTCCTTCACAACCAGCCCAAGCTTATTATTCCACCCCCAAGTAGTAGTACCCGAGGCAACGATAAACGCATATATAATTCCCCACAACCACAACAACGTAATAACCCCAGCGCCCGCCTTGAAACTCCTCCACGGCAAAGTCATCGCCTTCGTATTCGCCTCAGCAAAAGTCTCATTATTATCCCCCTCCCCAGCAAGCAAGCCCATCGGGCGACCACTTGCCAACTCGTTAACATCTTGGGTTAAACTTCTAGGTACCCTAGCCCCTTCCTCCGTACCGTATGTGATCCTTTCATGTGTCTCCTCCGTATAATGCAACGGTAATGTAGTTTTCTGCCTAGTTATCCTAGCACCACCCTCCTGCGAGATCTGCGATCCCTCACTAGCAAACGAATCCATATTGTGTCTGCTACTCTTCAGCTTTCTAATACTCTGAGCATGCTTAACCATAGGGGCCTAAAACCAACCAGTTTATTGAGTCCAACGCCCCCTCCCCCCCTACCTGAGGGATGAGGTCAGTGGCCGCCCTCTCGAGCTTAGCAGCAGACTTCTTCCTAGATGCATCCAGCCTTGATTCAAGACTCGTATTGTTCGCTTCCTCCTCCTCCTCATCCTTCTTCAGGCCGAGCACGTCAATCTGGATAACCGTCGAGAACTTAGTCGGCAAAGATCCATCGGGCTCCACCGCTAAACGAAAATAAGCTTAACAAAAAACGCTTCGCTCCGCCTTACCCATGGACATCAAATACCCTATACAGAGCATATGGATGATGTACGATACCGGTGATATGTAATTGACAGCGGTCAAGTAAGTCTCATAACTCGTATCCACCGGCTCGCCAGCGACGATAGCCTCATTGGCACTAATCTGACCCATATTGTAACCGATGGTAAAGCTAGCACATAGGCCCGCCAGGAATGGACCTGTGCAAACACCGTGGGAGAAAATATGCACATAGTCAACTTCATTTAGTGTTGGTGACAATATGAAAATTCCGAGGAAATTTTGGAAATTTCTTAATTGCTACAAATGAGCCAGCTCCTGAGCTCAGCTGAGGAAAGCGAACATATATGGAGTTTCCTCACTAGTTTTACAAGCTTGAAAATTTCCCGAATTTCCTCATAATCAGAAACACACGTAGAAGAACATCCCACCACTCTTACCAATGATCTGTAGAGCAGCTAGCGTCAATTGCTCCCATGGGTTTAGCAGTAGATTCATCCTCTCATGTGCCAACGCGAAAGCCATAGGAAGGACCACGAAAACCCAAGTACCCCAGAAATGATATTGGACCATGTAGTAGGCGAGACCCATGTAACTGATATCCAAAAGTCAGATAAACTAGATACGAAACATGTCCGATACAGACACCACGCAAATTCAAATATAGAAAGACCAACGGCGGCCTCTCACCTCAGCCTACTACCTGATCACATGCAGGAACTGATTGGCACCAAGGACCATGCACACTCTAGCATAGGCATCAAAGCCATTCCAATGCTCTTGTAGTTTATTGTATAGATAGAAATGCTCAACAAATACGTTATACTCCGCCGCACTGAGAGAATTAACATCGATAAAGTTGCATAAACTTCCCGCGCGCCTCATTACTCTGGATCTTCCGTATTCAACTGGGCGGGAAATGCCTCCTTAGCCTCAACCCCAGTCGTATACTTCTTGCCGGGGATATAACTGAAAAAATGCACTAAATTACGAAAACAATTAATTTCAAAAATTTAAAAATTACAATACATAAAATGTTGAACTTTTCGGCCTTCCTTTCTAAGGCCGCTAAAATTTTCTCAAATTTTGCCAAAATTTTCCCAAAATTTTCCCAAATTCTCGTTCTCTCCCAACGTACTAGCCAACAACTGGTATCCTAAACATTCTTTTCACACCGCTGGTCTCATAGTCCTGCAACCGAGCAGCTATAGGGTTAATCTCGTCCTCGCCAGGAATAGGCAGACGCATCCACTGGGTGAGCACACGCGCCTTAAACGTCTAGCAACAAGACACTGTTGGTCAAGCCGTATACTTCTAGTACTACGACTCACCTGGGCCACAATAGAAGCATGAATAGCAAACCATACCGATAGCAATAGGAAGAATATAGCACATATCAAATGCATACCCCACAACCACACCAACCACGCTGGAGTCCCGTCCTCAGGTCTGAATGCGAGATCAAGTAAAAAATGTAAATACCCATTTGGTGACTTACAATCGGCCTTCATAGAAAAAGCCAACGACGAAGCCCAATGTGAGTGTATTAACCACAATATACGTATCCATCTTGCCAATAGTCAACTCGAAAAGATCTCTTACATCCTCACGATAAAGGTCAACCTAGAAGATCCTTTGCGTGTCACCATGCTGGTGTCACCACCAGGTGGCCTACCTGTTCAACGCGCATCTTCTGCGTGTGATAAACTCGATCCTGGTTCAGCTCATAGTCGAATTGGTAGTTAGTACGGTTGTATTTAAATAGCTCCCACACACCACCTAGTAGTGCGCCGACTTCTAAGACTACCATTACTAAGCAAGTGACGACAAGCCGACTTTTCTACACGAAGCTGCTGCTGTCAAAGCTAATAAATTCGCATCGCTCCGCTCAATGAAATTAGCGCACGCCCGAAAATAACACTGACCAACGAAGGGAACCCCTCGCTCCGGAGATAGCCAGGATCAAAGTAAGGACTCATCCTGCTAAGGTGTATATAGACAATTCGCAACTCTAATACCAAACCAAGGAGTTCTTTTGTGTGTTAGCAGATAGGGACTGATGATATGAGTTCCCTCAGCTGAGGCAAGCCTTTAAAACATTGAGACGATAGCCTCTATTCTCGACAGCATCGTATGCTTCTACTGCGCTCAAAAAATGGCGTCTCGAGAACGACGGCGACACTGCCCGTCGTACAAAACTATCGTGGATGATGAATTTGCAGGAGAGAAAACCCACCATGACGTCCATCATCCCTGGTGGGAACTCAACACATGTAACGAAATCTGGTGGAAACCAGTACAGTGTAGAAGAGAACCCCGGTTATTACTACTAGCAGTATAAACAAGTGAATAACCTATTACCATCACATACCATTCATGTGATGAAATGTTACAGCATGACCGTAATAATAGTAAAAAACGTTACTGGACGATGGACGAAACCGGGGTGAAAATACTACTCAAACGAGTGTGCATACAAGACAGGTATCAATGAGTTTCTCTCATAACCAACGACTACACCAACCGTCCGCGCAGTCCATAATATGTCATACGCATCAATAACCGGCTCCAGGGAGCGGCGACCAGAGACCCGTGTTCCAGACTTAGTCGACAACCAATGGACCATGCCGGTTTCCATCGTCACCAAAATTGCATCCACTGTTGCATGAAGTGAGCTAGATGCCCCATATCGGTAATTTCCAAAGGCTTTCCACGATGTCGGGTTGAGCGAGCGCGTGAATAACAATTCGCCACCATCCGATGCGATCCCAACATAGCCAGCAGAAGTCGCTGCAATTCGGCGGAGTCTTCTGCCCAGGTTGATAGCAGGAGCCGACGACGCGCATGGGAGGAGCCAGGCCCCAGTGAGAGCACACAGAGTACCGTTCAACACTAGGAGGTCATCGATTACCGTCACACCAGAAGTACCACAATCGATCTCGTGCAGTGTGGTTTTATTGAGAATGTACGCCGAGAATAGTGTCGCCACATATACCACATTTCCGTCACGCGCCACAGAATTAACTCCCGTTTCCAGCCTCACCAAAGACCATCCTTCCCGCCTAGCGAGAAGCCTATGGTGGTCGTCAGTGTGATTGTCAACAGGAATAGCCGCGATGGGTATATCCAACAAACCATCAGCGATAAGCTCAGGATCGACTGTGTTGATGGCCAAGACCACGACTGCTACTGCCCAGCACAGCAGAATAGTTACATTTAATAGACGAGTGAACTGAAACAGATACAACTACGGTATGACAGTGTTGTAGTATATATTTTTAACGGCATTATAAAAAATTTACACACGATTTGGCTTGAATTTCATAATAATTTTCCGAAAATTTTCCCAAAAATTTCCATATTGTCACCAACAATGTGGTAAACCGCGTGCATATTCTCCCACACTGGATGAAAATATTCCGATCGACGGTATGAGAGAATACGCTCATGGTCAACCACATGTGTTGGTGACAATATGGAAATTTTCGGGAAAATTTTTTGGGAAATTCTCATTAGTCTCCGTACACTTCTACCCAAATTTGTATGTAGATTCTACTACTAGCGAGGGAACTCCTTAACTCAGCTAATATGAGCAAACATATTCTCACACCCTTCCTCCAAGTGCTGACCATAGCACTCACCATGAAAGGCATTCTTGCTCGTCGAACAGTAGTCCTGGGATCGTTCAGAATGTCAAGTCCCTGGGCCTTGTGCGCTTCTTGCAACGCTCTAGTCCTTGCCATCAACTCCGCCAACTCGTCGGGTAGTAACGACATACCGCGTCGCAAGCCCTGCAGAAAAAAAATCTTCCGCGTGCGCACAAAAAGATACTTTCACCAGAGTCCGAGACGTATCCCACTGAATCTCCCCCGTTTCAGTGTTTAAATGATACGGTAATGTTTCCCCTGTCTCCGTAACGTGCTCCAGAGTGACCCAGCCCCCCACTGGGTTGAAGGGCGTGCCCGGCGTCGCGTCACCACGCCCCTGCTCAGCCTCTAGGGCAGCGGCCAAGGCTATACGCTGGACTTCGAATTGTGACTTCAACTCGTCTAGCTTGCTCTTATCCTGAGCACGACCATGATTTGGTCGAATTTTGGTATCAAAAAAACAGCATCCACTCACTTCATTGGACAAGTCCTGTCGCTGAGCATCCCAATAACGAAAGAGGCGATCAAGGCTCCTCTCACATCGTCTACAGGCCCTCCGCAACTCCTCCGAAATGTCATATTCGCGACACCCGTCATCCGCCTCTGCTGCCACGAACGGCAATACTTCATCATAATCCCTCGCAGTGCGATAGTCATTCGATGGACCTCCCATGGGAATACTCGGCAATTTCAAATGCCTAAACAGAGATCTAGACCAACACCAGGCCGAGCACGCACGAACTTACCCTTTCTCACTGAGTCTAGGCTGGGCCATCGGCTCGGCAACCTCCTGTATGGCCTCCACACCGAAGCCCAATACGTCAATACACCACACAGTAGAGAACTTATACGGTAGACCATCGGCATCTCGCTGACAGAGGTAACTAAAGCTGTCAGTGACAGAGCTCGATACGTCTGTTGAGGAACATATGGTATGTATAGAAACGACAGAGCTATGGAGTCTACGTCGTTGAGAGCTTGACCGCAAAACTTTTCCGGTGGACTTTATACGAGACCAATCCTATCTTGGTTTTTATTGTGTTATCTCAATTCCTTTGGTTAGAATAGATCAGCACTCAGCCACACGAACGACTCAATTTCACGCGAAAATATTTTATTTCATATACCACGAATCAGTTGTTGATGATGATGATAATTAAGATCTTCTGACTATTTTAAACTTACATGAAAAACGCCTGCCAAAACATGGACAGGACCACACCACTGATTCCTATCCAGATTTCCGCTGGAGTGGTGACCAAAACCACGACTTCGCTCCGCTCACTCGTTTGCAGAATACTAACATTGATATCATGCCAACCCACAGCGACACTTTGTGTGACGACAGCACCAAATGAAAGGGTCATCTAAGGAGACTCAGATAAAACGATGTTGATCACCGAGTTTCTACCATGACTATTCTCTCCCGGTCGGAGAGCACAGTATTGACACCAATATGGATGTAGGAGCATAATGTCATGATGAGTACAAAAGCGTATGCTGCTATTCTGTTTCCGAAGAAGACGCCGTAGAAGGCAAGCGTGAAGTAGGCAAAGGCGAATAACATCTGATTGGTACCTGAGGTTCCCAACGCAAAGATACGGATCTAGCCCAAAAACGGCCTGTCTGAGATCGTCCCTATTAAATTGAACGACAATGAACAAGAGTTTATATACAGTCGAGTTACTACCCCAGCACATAGTGACTCTCGAGTACGCCTCGTGTCCCTGCCATTTCGCATGCATCAAGTTAAAGAGGTTGAAGTGAGCCAGGAAGACCTCCCAATCTGTTGTCAGGTCGCGGACGCCCTAAGATGCGATCCGACTGTGGGAAAATATGCACGGGGTCAACTACATGTGTTGATGAGAATAAGCAAATTTTGAAAAAATTGTTGTTAGTTTTTGTACATTTCTACGCAAATTCCGTCCGTAAACTCAGTTGAGAAAACTAAACATATTTTTCAACACCGAGCGCTCCAGCTCCCATTTCCAGCTACCGTATCTGATACCCATCCCCTTCACGAAACCGCTCCCACACAGTTTCCAGGGTAACCCCTCACCTACTTTTTCGGGCGTTCCATTGGCAAGACTCGACGGCTTAGTTCGGAGAGGTTCCGGGAGATCAGTGTGCGCTTTATCTCTAACTTGTTCTAAAATTACCGGCACTCGCAGAAATGATGTCACTCCGTTGCCTGAGGGTAAGCAATAGACTCCTCCTAGAGCGACTAGCAGTACTTTCGAAGTCCTTCAGGCGGGCGGCTCCATCGGCTACTTCTTGGGCACTGGGGACGGGCAAACGAAGCCATTGTGTGAGAGAGCGAACGCTGAAGACTTGGGCGTACACTGATGCATGCAGTGATAACCATATAGACAGTGCGAGATTGACTATAGCCGCGCCTGAAGAGAAAGTCTCGGTAGTTCGAAGGCATATGGGAGCGGCTACCCATAGTGATAGCATACGGCCAGAAGAGCCAGTTTGGAGTCAGCTCGGGGGCCCGACCCTTGTAGAACATCTCTATCGTCAGCACCAGTAGTATCGTATTCATTATCTGAATGAGCCGGCGAGAAGCATCATAGTCAAGACTAAGTGATGAGTAGTGTTGTAGTCGGAAGTGAATACTCAGCTAGTTTTGAATATATGTCGTATTATACTCCTACTATATCGTCTACTAGTACTAGAATTGATTATTCGGCTCAGTAGTCAAAATCAATGGGACAAACGGTGAGGAAAAGAGTTCCCTATAGTACCAGGTAGTTGTCCATTTTTAGTATGGTGAGGCCGAAAAGATCCCGCAGGTCCTGACGGTAAAGGTCGACCTGCCTCACACGCATCTTCTGCTGTTGATAAATGTTCTTCTGTCGGAGCTCAGTGTTGAACTTCCAATTCTCCCTGTTGTACATAAACAGCTCCTTCGCTGCATCTCCGACAGGCATAGTGTTAAAAAACAATTGGGGGCTGATTGGGGATTTCCAACGAGGTGTGTAGGCGTCACGACAGAAGGTGAAAATGCGCAGTTATGTATCGCTCCGCTCCGCGTAGGTGACTTCTCGCTCGCCCGAAATGAGCACGCATGCCCATGCACGCGTCATCTCTGTTCGTCGACAAAAACTCCCGCATAGATTGCATCGTTGATGCCACTCACTTGAGTACGGTTTGCTTATCAGTTATCCCGTTTTACCCCACCAATGAGGTTAATCATCCCCATTTTCGCCTGCATCGCCAGTTCAGTCCTCGGCGCTAAGGAAGAGGAAAAAGTATCCGGCCCCGTAGTTGGTATCGATCTTGGTACTACCTATTCTTGTGTCGGCATCTACAAGAACGGCCGTGTCGAGATCATCCCCAACGACCAAGGTAACCGTATCACCCCGTCATACGTGGCCTTCACTGATGAAGAGCGTCTCGTCGGCGAGGCCGCGAAGAACTATGTGGCAGTCGATCCGCAGAATACAGTCTTCGATGTCAAGCGACTCATCGGGCGTCGCTACTCTGACAAGACCGTTCAGCGTGATAAGAAGCTATTGCCTTTCAGTATCATCGACAAAGGCGGCAAGCCTATGATAGAGATCGCCGTCAAGGGCCAGAAGAAGGCTCTGACTCCCGAGGAAATATCGGCTATGGTGTTGACAAAGATGAAGGAGACTGCTGAGAATTACCTCGGTACTGAAGTCAAGAATGCCGTGATCACTGTTCCGGCTTACTTCAACGATGGCCAGCGTCAAGCCACTAAGGATGCTGGTGCTATTGCTGGCCTCAATGTTATGAGAATTATCAACGAGCCCACAGCCGCTGCTATCGCCTATGGTCTCGACAAGAAGTCTGAGAAGAATATCCTCGTCTATGACCTTGGTGGTGGTACCTTCGATGTCTCTCTTTTGACCATCGACAATGGCGTTTTCGAGGTCGTTGCGACCTCTGGTGATACTCATCTGGGTGGTGAAGATTTCGACCAACGCGTCATGGATCATTTCATCAAAGTTTTTCAGAAGAAACACAAGAAGGATCTCCGTTCAGACAAGCGGGCTTTGGCTAAGCTCCGTAGGGAGGTCGAGAAAGGCAAGAGGGCTTTGTCATCTACTCATCAAGCTCGTATCGAAATTGAAGGCATCATGGACGGCATTGATTTCTCCGAGACTCTCTCCAGAGCTCGTTTTGAGGAGCTGAACGCCGATTTGTTCAAGAACACTCTCACACCAGTGAAGACTGTCCTCGACGATTCCGGCTTGTCCAAGAGTCAGATTGACGAGGTCGTGCTGGTCGGTGGTTCTACTCGTATTCCTAAGATTCAGTCATTGATTAAGGACTTCTTCGGCGGTAAGGAACCTAACCGTGGTATCAACCCTGATGAGGCTGTCGCCTATGGTGCTGCTGTCCAGGGTGGTATCTTGAAGGGTGAAGGCGGCCAAGATCTTCTATTGTTGGATGTCACTCCTCTATCTCTCGGTATTGAGACTGTCGGAGGTGTCATGACCAAGATCATCAACCGTAACACTGTCATTCCCACGAAGAAGTCCCAGGTCTTCTCAACCTATCAGGACAACCAACCCGCCGTTAACATTCGGGTCTTCGAGGGTGAGCGTCCTATGACCAAGGACAATCATGAGCTTGGAAACTTCGAGCTCTCGGGCATCCCACCTGCTCCTCGTGGTCAGCCACAGATTGAGGTTACTTTTGAGATTGATGCCAATGGTATTATGAACGTCCAAGCTGTCGATAAGGGCACTGGGAAGAAGGAGCATGTCACCATCACAAATGACAAGGGTCGTCTATCTGAAGAACAGATTGAGCAGATGATTCGGGACGCTGAGAAGTATGCTGATGAGGATAAGAAGACTAAGGAGAAGCTCGACGCGAAGAACGCCTATGATAACTACCTTCACTCGATGCGCAGTGCCATCGAAGGCAGTGGTGGCCAACCTGGTCTCGGTGAGAAGATGGACGAGGAGGAGAAGGAGCAAGTCCTCGAGGCTGTCAAGGACGGCGAGGACTGGATCTCTGCTAATGCGGAGACTGCGGATGCCGATGAGATCAAAGCTCAGCAGAAGGAGACTGAGGGTGTTTGTGCTCCCATTATCAGCAAATACTATCAGGCTGGAGGTGGTGGAGAGGATATGGAAGATGAGGAAGAGGATGATGCTCCAGATGAGTTGTAAGTTTTTTACATATGTCAGGTGGAGAGATCAAAAACACCTGTTAGAAGATACCGCAGTCGATATCATGACCTGCTCTTTTTATATTATTCCCTGTTGTGTTGTCAAATGAACGCCGAAACCAAACACATTATGAAAATACAATCTGGGAGACTAGCTCCCGGCTAAGAGTTAAATAGTGCTACCCGGAAATAGAATAGTAGTCGAAGGTGTTAAACAGTGTGTTCAGTTTCACCAGCTCTTGATGCCTGTGACACATTCCACTGCCGGTCTTGCCGATACTTTCGCATACAAGCAGGCCTTGGAGCTGGCCACGGGTGTGAATGTAGCGAGGAAGGCGGGTTTCAAGACATGGACGACGCGTCTACGACTTCACAGAGCGCTAGTTGCGGCGAAAGAGTCAGAGCTCACTCGAGAGCTGCGGCTCATGCGGCAGCCACAACGTAGAGAAGCAGGGCCTCATCCGACACCTATTGTTAGTCTTATGCCGGGTATTCATCTTCCTGCCTTGGTCGCTACTGAGGATGCTAGGAAGGCTAGCGAGCAACTGCGGAAGTGAGGTTCTCTCTGGTTTACTCCACCTCCCTCGATATGCTTCTTCTCAGAGATTTACACCTGACTCCTGTTGAGTTGCCACCCGTGAAGAGAAGACCTGTCGGGACGGCCGAGATACCCTGGCTGAATATTGAACCACGGGCGGGTTCTATAAGCAAATCGATCTTTGATAGTTTAGCGCCTGCTAGTCCCAGCCTTCGACTATCTCAAGGAAGCTCTGAGGCAGCAGTCGTGTGGACTCCACGGCTTGTTAAGTGTACACCTCGTCGACGGTGTTCTCGGTCACGAATGGCGCCTGTGACACGTACCACCATGATGATGTTGCAATCTGGTGACATACGCTCGTCTATTGGAGCTGAGTCTTCGTTACTAACTTATGCGAGTGTCACCGACGACGGATGGGACGCTGCATCATTACTCATGCCGGATGCTTCGTCGGTGAGAGTTCCTCCTTCACCCCGAACGACAAGAATGTCCCCACGGAGGCTCAAGCAGAAAAGAAGAACACTAGAGCAGACAGTCCCAATGGCCGATGTGACCCCGGTCGATTGCCAGGTGCTATGTAATGCTGTGCTCGAGCGAGTATACCGGCAAGCATGGGAGGTGAGTAGTCTCGACAGAACGGCTTGAAAAGCTAGCATGTTGCCACCAGTCTGCTGATGTAGGTCACTTTGTACTGCTTTTCTTTCAGAACTCATCTTATCGAGTGAGCCAAGATAGGGCAGCTGACACCATTCAGGAGAATCATTCGTCTGGGATTAACACACACAGTCTCCCTTCTGTAGATCGGACGCGTGAACGTGTCATCGAGGAGACAGCTGCAACAACAATTCAGAAGCACTATAGATTACTCAAGATGTCAAGAGCTCGTGAAGTCATCCAAGAAGAAACAGCAGCGATGACGATCGAGAAACATAACAGATCCTCAAAGATGTCCAAAGCTCATGAAGTCTGTTAGCTGGTGTTGGCTGGTGTGTGAGACGCTCTCGGCTTGTGTTCAAGTCGAGACGAGTGCACCAGGTGGATCCTACCTGGATCTGGACCAGGCCTCGACGAGCAGCATTGACAGTACGGACTTGCGAACTACCCCGCAGAACTATTAGTAGCGGATCCAATGCTAGCCGCCGTCACCAACTCGGAAGCAGTCCAAGCGGGCGCAACTTCCGCACCAGTCTTAGGAACTGAGCGAGTACGTAGCCGTAAAGAACAGATAGTCAGATATCGTCCGAGAGAGATACACCATCGTGTCAGTGTGGCCTGGTGACCTCAGGTCACCATAAACCTGCCCTCAGCATTTCAGAAAGACTCAGATGGTAACACGGCACTACATTGGGCGTTATGGTACACATTGCACACTACTGCTGGTGCTAGACTAACACTTAGGTATAGGGACTCCGAGACTGTTCGGACGATACTGGCTGGTCCAGTGGCTCGGACTCTCATCGAGATGCCGAATGTCTATGGCGAATTGCCAATAATGTGGGCTGCAAAGGTGTTCTCGCGGAAGCTGCGCGTACGAACTATTTTAAGCGTAGTCCTCGAACACAGTCGGGATTACAATGCTGGTTGAGGCGATGACCGAGCAAGGGTGGAGTAGTGTTGTGCAAAAACTCTTCAAGAGCCACGATCTGGTTCGAGTGCATTGGAATGTCGAGGACGAAGTGTCAGCGCTTCAGGATGGACTAACACTACTAATCGTCTGCGCCCAGTTCGACAACGCAGCGATGATGGAATGGCTTCGGCTGACTGGTGGTATGTTCATAGACGAGAAAGACCATTCGGGCCGAACGGCATTGCATTGGGCTGCTTACAAGGTGTCTGGAAATGTCGAGAATACACTGTTAGAGGGCCATATCTCAGGGCCATCGAAAATCTGTCCAGTGGCTGCTGTCTCGTGGTGCTTCACTCATCGAACGTGATATCGACGGCATGACACCACTTCACTTAGCCTCCATGCAAGGCCACAAGATGGTCGGATCGAGCATTCATCACACGTCGTTCGACATGATTATCAAGTCGTGGACCTCCGACTCGTTTAGCTTCAACTGAATGACCTCGATTCTATGGTCCCTCTATACGTTACAGTTGCCTGCACTAATACATAATCGTCACAGGTCATAGATATGCTGATCGACGTGGGAGGCGTCTTCCTATTGGACGAGTCCGGGAATAGCGGCGATTCGCCTCTCAGCTTGGCCAAGCTAAATGGCTTCCAGTGGATCTACCTGTGCATGCAGGTGATCTCTCGCCCATATCTGGTTGGCTCTCATTTAAGCAAAGCCCCCTCCTGGACATTCATCCGCATTTTTGCCCTTCAGAAGACGCGACTCTGTAACACGCTCTTTGGCCGACCGTACCTCGCACATAACGACTACGCTCACATGTCCGTATATACGAGATTATAGTAGAAGACTGCTGGTCAGATTCATCGTGACTTTCGGCCTCGACTCCTTGTTTTTCGCCTATGTACTCTGGCCATGGCTCAAAAGCAACATATGGGATATGCTATGGCTCTATGTAGAGGCTCTGTGTCTCATCTTAACCATAGTCTTATGGGCTGTCGCCTGTTACAGCGATCCAGGTCGGGGGCCTTCGATATCACTAGGCAAAATATCGAATCTGGTTATTGGCGTCATGCCTTAACAATAGAGATCGTCTTCCAAGCATAACTATACTGGTTCAGTACAGACTGCTTTAGGTTGGCTTGCTGAGTATCCATTGCGGTCACAGGCCGACACTTGCCGAGAACTCTCTGAGGAGCAGAGTGAATCAACTTCATGCGTAAGGGCTCTCACAACTCGTGGACATTTGAGTCTTTTCTGTACAGATCCAAGAGGACTTCCAGGGGACAGTTATCACGGCTGCCGCGAAATGCAAGGCAGAAGAATCTCGGGTAGCGATAGCCTCACTTGATTTACCTACCTGTGTGAAGGCCTCCCATGCAGGGTTTTCTGAAGCTGACACAACGTCCCATCTACCATGAGGCTCAGTCAGTGCACACTAGATCAATGAACGGCTCTGATGCCCAGCGTAGTTCATCGCGTACCGTTCAGATCGAGTCATTGATGATATTAAGGTCTTGACTGTAGAGAAAGGTTTCTGCCCGATTCTATTCAACGTCGTAGTATTTCAGCTGGCTCTTCCAACAGTCCGCGTGACGAGGATCCAGATGCTGCCGCCGGTCTCCCGGAGCGACTGATCAATTCACAGCTGACTGAGTCACGTACGCCTGACGTATCGGAGGTCTATTATCGCTCTCTGTGTGAGGGCAAATTCAAACAGGTGAGACTTTCACCGTGAAAGTTGATTCCAGTCACATCCAACGCGAGTGCGTCGCCGTCGTTCACACCTTTCCAGGTTTGCGTTATTTGCCGAGTGACTCATACATTGCGGTCACGCCATTGTAAGGAGTGTCGTCGTTGTGTCGACCGTCTCGATCATCATTGTCCGTGGATAGACAACTGCGTTGGGATTCGGAACCAGCGAAGTTTCTACCTCTTTCTCCTGGTAAGGCTGAGGCCCCGCCTACGCTTGTCTTCTCGGAACCGTTCTATCCAGAAACTCGTTTTGTTAGGTGCTATCAGTAGGATTGACAATCGCATACTATCTAGTATTCCGTTTTATATCCACCGTCACCTTACGCGCTCGCTCCAGCTCAGAGCTTGAAATTGACCTTATCACCATTGCTGTGGTGAGTCTCGTCCATCCGTGTCATCCCGGATGACTCTAACGCCAGGTATTCTTCGCTGCCATCAACTTCCTGTCGGCTGGGTTTGTTGCAACTCTCTTCATTAGACAGACTTGCTTTATGCTTTTAAATTTGACGACTGCTGAGGTACGTGGTACTCAACGATGGATGAATCAATTTACGCGAACGACTGGTGAATTGTCTTTGCGAAAACCGACTGATAGAGCCCTCCTTGGCAGAATAGAATGATGATATACGATGGACTTCTCGTAGTCGATTGTACCGAGGTTTCCGTGCTTCAGGTCATGACTAGGCCGACGCATGTTCGAAGAAGATTCCCTGCTGATAAGTGGCGATACTGGTAAGTCGTGAACTGTGCTAACTTTGAGCAGAAGTACATGAGTTATAGCGTTCAGGTATTTGGGAGGGTTTTGCTCTCTGACGCTCCCGATTGACATGGTCAACAGAGTTGTTGCTTTCTGGACCCTCGATGAACATAGACAGAACACCCGTGTAGGCATTTACTCTATCTTCAGACTTAGATGCACCGATCGCTACAACATTCGCATCAGCGCCTCACATTGCTAGCGTCACTTTTGGCAGGATTTCGGTCGATCCGAAGAGCTTCAGGAGCGGTCAATATTGCGGTGATATGAAGCTGATGCACTATAAATCATAGTGATGATGAGAACGATTTTCTATGTGTTGTGCATCACTGAGGAGCTGAGTTAGTTATAGAATGTACCAGAGTAAACGTGAGGCATCATGGTTGGAGGCGAAATCTTAAACCCAGTCGATACGTTTGATATGGCACCGAGGATCTTATAGAGAGCACGGTATTGACTTGGCGTGCCACTTGAAAGAAACGGCTGCGGCCCCTCGGTTCTTTCACGAACAAAATTAGGCCGTCCTCCATTTTGCGCAACAACTCGACTAGTAGTCAATGATGGATTTAATACAAGTCCCAGGTACCTACAATGATAGGAAGCCCTGAGACCTGTGAGCGCAACCAGGCCCTCGAACTGCCATGCGTGCCGAGGCTCGTATGGTACATTTACACCCAAGGCAGCCTTGGCGAGGCTTTTCGGATTTTGCTTTTTTCCTTCGTATTTGAGATTCACCGTCAACTTGTGTGTGTCAATATTCGGCGTAACTCGTTAAAGAGCTGTTGTCAAGAAAGCTTCTGCAAGTCAGTTTGTCAACGATGACTCTATGCAAAGAAAATACAGGTCAAAACGATCATAAACATCATATAGAGAAGGGTAGTCATTGACTACTATCATTGTCATTGTATCCCCAAATAAAGGGCGAGCGACTATCGAAAGTGCTAAGAAAACGTCCTGGCGGAGCGAAGCACAATCGTCTCCCAGTACCTCGGGCGCGCGCTTCTGTAACAGCGCAATTTGAATTGTTCGCGGCACAGCTGGTCACGCTGATATTTGCAATTAACTTCCATTCCAATAAGAGTTGATAGGGGGGCTCACTCTCTCGTCGAGTAGCCGTGGAAAACTCTCCAGTTGAATTTCGTTTTGTTCATCACAATGGCGACAGCAGTGTCCGCAGCGACCAAGGTCCCCACTAGTGCTCTTGGCAAGATCGTGGGAGTATCCGGGGGGAAGACCCAACAGGTCAGCTAAGGGCCCCTTCTATCTCTCTATGTGCCTCCTCCAGGTCCCCGAAGAGCCGACTGACCAGGAGATCGAGGACTATGCCTTATGGCTAGGTTTGGATAACGTGAAAGATCGTGACTTGTTCTGGATAGCTCGGCAAGTGAGAACTATGATGGAATTAGATTTCAGCAAGGTGTGGTATGTGGCCAGGCTTTGAGGACTCCCATACCTCACCCGTGGGTTCAATGTCAAACTGCTAGTGGTGATGTATTCTTTCACAATACCAAGACGAAGGAGAGCGTTTGGGATCATCCGTGAGGGTCTTTCCTCATAACCGGAGAAGCTCATGTTAAACTGCCTGCAGATATGATCAATACTACCAGCAAGCAGTTGAGCAGTATAAACGTGGGAAGATCTCTCGAGGCGAACTGGTGAGCACACACTGTCTACTACTATTACCCTATAGTCCTTGTTCAGTCGGCCAGTGTGTCGCAGTCATGGTTATTCTCTACGACGGACCAACGATCATCGGCCCAAGTTAGTCCCGAGGTGGCTAAAGGGCAGAAGGAGAGCTCGACTGTCCACAGCGCTGCAGGTAAGCTCGTACAGTGGGAATAAGGGACCGGACGTTTCAGCGCAGACAACTCCCCATCGCGTATCGTCCCTGATGATATTGAGCTACCGGATGAGCGTGTTGTTGAAGCAGTTGGTCCGATGCCTTCTAGCATACTAGTCACCGACAGGTATGTAACGTTTTGAATAGCCGTCGAGTCCAGTTGTAGTACTAGGGCACGAGAGGTTGGTGTAAAACGCGCGTGCAGTGATTGGCCTCGCTGTAATAGGGTAGAGAACTATTACGCAATATGCTGAATATACGACGGACTGAACAAGACTGAGATAATGCTTTAGCACGGAAGTATACTTCTGCGATATAGTATCGTAGTGGTCGCTATTGTGCACCTATCTTTCCTCAGGGTAGCCGAAGATGAACTCGCTGAGGATGCTCCTGTGGGTGAGTATTTTGCCAATCCTGAGTCATTTTATATTGATCGATGTCGTATCAGGAGTGGACGATATGCTTGAGGGAGCTTCTCCGAATGAACCTGACTCTGCCGATGCAGATGCTATTGAGTAGGAGGAAGGATGAGGAGGGGTTGACGGTTCCTCTCAGGGTTAGCTCAGCTAAAGAGCTCTTCGAGCCGCCCCCTCGCAGTATAGAGGCTGCTTACGCCGAGCTCGCCGAGTTGAGATCGAGAATAGTGGAAATGGAAAGAGAAAAGGAGAGGGCAGAGAATGACCTCAGAGGTGATGCAAAATGGGGAGGGCTGCATACTATGCGAGCAGTAGCTTTTGTCAATGGTTGTGATATTGAGCTCGGTCGGAAGTGATGCGAGTTTCGCAAGTTCACGGCCCCTAGTGTAAGGGCTGATGTATCTTGCGTGTTTCGTCACAATTGTGGTATCGTTAGTTGGAGTGATGTTGGTTTGTATTGGTATTTCACAGATTCTGAAATTCATCGCGAAGCGATGCAAAAAGATCACGACGCTGCAGCAGAGGCACTTAGATTAGCCGAGGAGGCGAGGGATGCCGCGGTTGCTGAGCTAGAGGAGGCCAAGGAGGAGCTTATGAGAGAGAAAGAGGTGGTGAAGCGATGGCACGCTGGCTTCCCTGACATCAGAGTAGTTGCTAACATCTCTGTCGTGATATTGCGAACGCGTGGCGGCATGCGATTTTTACTGTTGGGGTGTGAATGAGTCTAGGTCTGATGTCAGGCACGAGAGAAAGCAGAAACTGAGTTTAATGCTCAAGAGGATAGCAATAAAATCATCGTTGAGGAGCTCACTGAACAGCTAGGGGAGACTCAGTCGAAATCGGAGTACTTGGACGGAGTCATCGCGACACAAGTAGGATGTTGTGGGGGAGTGGTATGTGATGCATAATATTTGTGTTGTAGACCAGCGAGATAGAAATGCTCCGAGAGCGTCTGAAAGACGGGCGAGAGAAGGTACTGGTGCTTGCTGAGGAAGATGCGGCACAGCGGAAATTGTTGGTGGAAAAAGATATGGAAGTTGTTAATCTCAACCGAGCCCTAGCGTCGTAAGATCCACAGCATAGTGTTTGCTGATTTTGGTGTATTTTAACTTGGGGAAAAACACAGAAATTCTACTAGGGGGAATTTGAGGGAAATCTCATCTCTTTGATGCCCCTCAATTTTTCCCCAGGAAGGAGGTATAGATGTAAAATTGTTGTATGTCTACTAGCATAGCATAGCCCTTTGCAGTGATACGACATAAGATGTATCTAGTATAAACTAGGTCTTCTCGGAGAAGGGGCGGAGCTCGGCATCCGGGTTCGATTCCCATGCCGGGCGTTTTTCTGCAAAAATATGTTTTTTGCACGGAAATCTACATGGTCCAAGCGGAACCCTAATTTCGTATTTTTCCTAGTATCCCGAGAGCGAGAGCTATCGAATGGTGTATAGCATGTGATCATAACCTCTCTAGATCGAGCTGGATAATTTGTACGCACGCACGCACGCACAAAGTGTTAGTAAAGTGAGAGAATACGCTCCGCTCGCTTCGCTCGCTCCGCAATTCTAAATTCTGTTATGTTCGTCTACCTCATTTTCAGAATGCGGCAGCAGATGCACGTTGAGAGTAGAAGGTCTACATTCAGCAAGTTATGCGGTAGAGCTCCGAGGAACGTGGGTGACACAGTCCTCCATGAAGACCTCAGCGCCTCTGTTGATGCCCCCGAACAGAACGAGTATTATGCTTATAGATTGCATGGTTGTTCAATGAGTTGTCAGGCTCTTTGACCAGCTCTTGAACGGTGTTCTCGCGCTGCCTCTGCGGATCGCCGACGAGTCGAAGAATTGAAGCTGACGTGACAATTAATTGCATAGAGAAGTATTGAGTGTGATGTGTTGACCATGAGAGATAGTATTCATTGGTCCTAGTGATGATACTAAAATGTTGTGTTGTGGTATGTGAAAAAAAACAGGTTGGTCGTCCCCAGGCACTTTGGTTGATTTTCACGATAGTATTGAAAAGGGTAGAAGAGTCGATGTGCACTTCAGAGGGATGAGCTTTAATAATTGAGAATGGCGTGGTAGATAACATTTTAATGTTAGGCGTTACTTTTAACATTTCTCGTAGAAGTCGACATTAGGACTATTACATACGGCTACACCTGTTGAGTTCTCAAGACACATACTAGAGTGCAAAAACCGAATAATCATGAACGTGTTTCATGCAATTGTCGTGCAATTTGACAATCGTTTTTTCAGAGATTTTCCGCCGTGCGTGAGCAGTCGTTTTTTACTCTATATGCGTTGCTATGCTGTATCAGTCGATATTCATCCTACTAAGCATTGTATCGAAACTGATATTATATGAGGTGATTCGATTCGTCGTTATGGTCAGTCTAGTGTTATGATAACAATCATTGGTAGCAGTCTTAATGATAACACTGTTATCAATCTATAGGGAACTATGGTGGCATTTTTTTAATATAGGCAACGCTCAGCATCTGAGGTTAAGTTCTATGTGTGTTAGGTTTTTATTCAATCTTTGTAAAACTTCGATGGGCTCATTATTCAGCAGATGGAGACCAGTAGAGACGCGTGAGGAAGAGGAAGAGGAGGAGGAGGACCACAGCATAGAGATGGTAATACACTCTAGGGCGTCGAACCGTGAAATTGTAGGGGGACACTTCGTTCGAAGTATCTGTTGACATGCCGGGTGCTCGAATCGCCAGGAAAATGGTATCGTTTTAGTGTAGCAATTTTAGCATGTATATATGCACTACCTGGTGGAGGCTGAGCTCATCTGTTTTGTTAGACCACTCCAGAGGTGGAAGAGGAAGAATCCGATGAGGAAAAGATGCAACGATTGAAGACTCGGTGGCATCGGAAACGACAGTGTCAAACTGAGGAGGATCTCAGTGACTTGTTAGAATTCGTGCGCAGTGGTAATGAAGTTCGGCAGATTTCAACATAGTAGGTTCTCTCTGTAGGGTCATCGGCAATCGACTGGCAGTGGCTCCTCACTGAGTGGTGTCGAAACTTATCTTTCATGACTGCTGATGGTAACGTGAACAGCGCAGTGATGAATTCCGTGGAGGAGGTGTTGGAGGCAGCACCAGATGCTGCGGCTGAGGCGACTGGCAAGAAATTAGCTCAGCGACTGCGGCTATATAAGTTGCTTACCAATGGTAGTAGTCTATGCTTAGCCGTGAACATAGCATGACGATCAGGAGAGTCCCCGCCTCTCTCGAGAGTACTGCCTTGGAAGGAGTTGTGTTCCATGACCGACGCCGGTGTTTGTGTTTTTCTGGCTGCTGGTCAAGAGTTAGAAGCCTTGGCGCAGGTGAGCGCTCCGGGGAGGTGACCACTCACTGGTTCTCAGACTATCACACCTTCTGTGTCTCGTGCGAACTGGTGGTCCATATGCAACGCCTATCCACTGTGGCAAGGCTCTATGAAGCCGATGTCGCTAGTCAGTGTGCTCATGCCCTCGGCTGTGAAGGGCTGTCGGGTAGTAGTGCTGGACTGTCTGGGGTCGTTGTGAGCTCGTTGTAGGTTTCGCCGCCATCTCGAGAGTCATGCGTTGCGTTTTACTTGTATCGGGCGTGGGCCCAAGTCCACTATGCTGGGCAACACGGGGCCGCCTTGGAGACCCTAGCAATAGGAGTAAGGCTGCTGATGGGCCAACAGGTAGGGAGGGAGCGGTCGGCTGGGGGGAGGTTTCTTTGCTCAGATACCATCCCGGCCTCAACAGCTGAGTCTTCCCACGAAGCTTCGGGCCCCTCCGGGCCCTATGGAGGCCCTCCTTTATGGATTATATAAACTCATAGCCCAGCATGCACTACAAGTGTCCGTCTATGGTCAGGAAGTGCCATCATTCGAGGAGTGGATGGGCCTGAGTGACTCCCAGCGTATTGCGAGGGTGATAGAAGCTTCGAAACCGGGGAGTACTGGGAAGGAACTTTTCGAACAAGCGTTGCCTTGCGATATTCCGCCGATCCCCGCCCCCAATGCAGATGTGATCAGCGCAGTCTACGGTTCATCACCGGACGCGCTGCCATCAGGTCTGTTGGAGGCCTGTGCATCGACAGTGGCGGTCCCTATCGACTCTAGCGTGATGGAGTATCTTGAGGCCCGAATTGAATCCACTCGAGATCCTGAGGAGGCAGCTGAGGTTGTCCATCGGGTCGCAGATGTGGTGTGTGCCTCTAACCCCACTTTGAAGCCCCAGGACAGGATCATCCGCTCAACGGCTCGGCTAGTACAGTTCGCCGTAAATAGTGTTTATAACAGTCGCTATGCCCCGGCGGTGGCAGTTCACGCGTATGTATCTAATATTTACCAATCGTTGCCAACGAGCGGCGCGGGTATCCCCCGAGGGGTTAAAGAGGAGGCGTGGACGAAGCTGATGGCAAGGGCCGATCGTCTGGATGCTCATACGACTTGTGCTGAACTCATGGACTCTAACTTTAACGTGGTGTGTTCTCGTGTTACTTTCCGCTTTATGGAAGTCTGCAGCGGCGGTACGGCTTCCATGACTATCGCAGAGAAGGAGTACGCGAGTCGGCTGATTGATGGTATGGTCATGGAGGCTGGCTCGAAGCCTCGGAGTGAGCTCTTCTGGCAACGCCTCCTCGACATACTCCTGTACATTGTCAAGCATGCCCTATGTGAGGCTGTTGAAATATCGCAGGTTTACGGTGCATTTTGTGACCAACTCGTGGGTCAAGACAGTTTGCCTGAGGCGCTATCGTGGGCGGTTGGAAAATGGCGTCACGAGAGCGGCGAGGTTGACGACTGGGTTGCCGAGGCGGCCATCAGAGCCATTGACTCAGCAGATGCCTTGCGGTATGACATTGGTATCGAACGAGCCCGACGGCTGTTGAAGCTTGGTGAAACTTCGCGCGCCCGGAAATTGTCAGGGCTGCTGGACATATGTGCGTTGGTTTTCGACCTGTTATCGTATAGGGAGTACATTGGGGGGAAGTTGGTCGGGCAAGCGGTGAACGTCGTGTTGAAGGCGACAGCACCGAATGCTCGGGCTTCCTTCCGAGACTTTGCGTTTTCTACTCCTCATGATATCAGAATGCTTCTGGCCACTCACACTCCTGACGAGGCAGCTTTCAAGTTGCTCAATGCAGTAGTGGCTTATAATTCTCAATCGTTGGGCAACAGTGAGGGCCTGAGGGAACTTAGTGAGAGTATTAGTTATGGATCTTGGTCTCGAGCGGGTCTGTTGCTGGTGTGTCAATATAGCTTATCGGATGGCCGGCTTGCTGAGGCGGTAGAGTATATTGAACAGCTCCAGGCGGCTGGGTATGGCAATTGTTGGCGACTCGCTGCTGCTGTTATTCAAAGTGGTGGAGTTGTGGAGAGCGATGAGTTCAAGAACATGAGTAGGATGATCGCTGATGGCGCCACGACGTGCAGCGAGGATGATGTTTTTGATGTTATTGAGGCAGTGAGAGTGACAAGCCAATATTTGAAGTCGGAAGCTGGCATTAGTTTGCCGTTACTCTCGGATGACGCGGAATGGGCGGAGACTATTCCGGATTGGCCACCGAAGAACTTCCAGGATCTCAAGGTTGACTACACCCTCCCAGGTTCGATCCTCGGTGGGGGCATTTTTTCACAGGAGGGCTGTGACGTGTCTCGACTAAGGGATCTGTGTACGACAGTGAGGGATATGCCACAGAGTTCAGTCTTATCGGAATACTCGATATCACGGGACGGTCCCATCGTGGACGCCGCCATAGGCCTCCTTGCTGACGATATAGAGATTGCTGGTATGTTACTAAGGCTTGGGTCTCGTCCTGTGGAGGTTGATGATAAGCTACTGTGTCCAGTTCTGAACAACGATGTGATCTCACTCACTGACAAAAGACGCGTAGTGGCTTTCGTGAAGTCACTTAGTGTTCCGGGATCTCCACGAGCAGTTAGGCTGGAGCTCATCGTGAAGTTACTAGAGCGTTGTGTACCGTTGAAGGCCGAATACCGCTACCTCTCGGTTGCCCATCTGGCAGGGGATGAGGACTATCGGGAGGCTGTACTGTTGCGGATATCACGCCAAAGGGCGGCTGCTCATCGCGAGGGTCTAGGGGTCAGCGGTGAACTCCAGAGGGCGCTGGCTGTGCTGGCCCAGCTTGATGGTGACGATGAGATCCCTGATGATTCTGACTCGGAGTTTTGCGATGATGTGAGCACTCCGTCAGGCAGTGGGGACTGGGAAGGGATGCTGGACGGCAACGAGGAGGACCTTGTGGCACGACTTGACGACCCTGAATTCATAGAAAAAGTCGCTGGCAATAGCAACAGTATAGGGAGCAACCATCGTAATTATAACAGGACCGTTGCGGTGTTGGCTTTGGAACAGTTGTGTACTCTTCTTACTACTGATATTGGTGATACTACTTGTGACGGTGCTGCGATGAGACTCCTTTCGAAGTGTATCGAGCTGCCAGATTTGCTCGAGGACAGGCTTAAAGCAACGATCGCCGAGTTGGCATCGAGGGAAACCCACAGGCGCGAGGATGAGGAGAAGTTGTTGAACCGGTATTTCTTGGCGAGGAAATTACTGGATATAGTCGTTTGTGGCGGAGGTCAGCTGACGGAGACATTGGTGCGGTTGCACGCGTTGCTGCCAGGCCTCAACGTGAGGCGGCTGCCCTTGAGCGCTGAGAGCGTGCTGGAGGAATGCAGGGGGTCTCTATCGGTGGTGGCGGAAATCTGTGTTGTAGTCGATGGCGTCATCGGGCTGGGGTTCGAGGCTACCCAGCTGGCTGACCTGGCCCTCCGGCAGAAGAGTGTCTTCGAAAAGATCCCTGCATTGTTGAGGCCCTACTTGAGTGGTCAGTTGGGAGAAGACAGCGCGGAGGCATCGCTGGGGGAAAACGATTGGGACTTTGACGAAGTCGGGAACGATGGTGGTTGGGACGACGAGGTGAGGGAGAAACCTGATGAGGTCGGTGGTGACGATGAAAGTATCTTTGCGGACGACCCCGATGGTTGGGACTTCTAGTTGTGTTGATCAACAGCACACTCCACCGTTGTTGTCGAGATCGGTGTTGCTTCCTGTGATAGTATTTCTAACGTGGTTTCATACTGGCATCATCAAGGGTTGGTCATTGTGTTGAGTGTCTGTGGGAATAAGCTTTGCCCGTCTTATTCGATCGGTCTCGACACCGTAGTCTGGAAAGTCGTTCAATAGAGTCATTCAATCGTCAGTGATTCGTAGTGGGACCTCGTGTTTTAAATGGGCATGATGAACATAGCAATACTGAGGAGAGGTCTTTTACTGACCATCCATGGCTGTTATAATAGTAGTTTTCAATCTGACCCTGTTACTCGACAACGAGACTGTTATAGTCTTCGTTCGGGAAAAAGAGCTGCCTTAGTGAAGTGACTCGAATGGTAGTGAATTCGAAGAAGTATCGTAGTTTTTATTTTACTACTATAGTAAAATATATGAACTTTGTGGTAGGTTAAATATGAGCTTCTTGTGATCGATTGGTTTCTGCTCTTCCTGTAAGTGGTTTTGGTTGTTAATCAAAGAACTGAAGCATGGGAGTTCATCGCGTGTTCATGTAACGAGACGTTCGGGAATAGATTCATTGCTTCATTTCTATTTTACAGTGTGTTCTTGTTTTATACTGTTCTTGTTATTACCCTCCGACCGGATGATAGACACATCGACAGTCTCGTTCCCTGTAGGGTCCTTAGGAGAGGAGGTTTTTGGTGGTGAGATTTATGGTCAGATGTTTGTGGCTTATCTGGCACGGGATCTTATTAGAATTGCCATGGTTATGGCAAGCCTGTACAATCTCTATTGCTCTAAGTGAGTCTGTCTACTGCAATTAATAGGAGTAGTCAAATGACGTATTGTAGAGAAGTCGTGAG